CCCCCCAAACTCTGTCCTGTTCTTTCCAACAGATTTTTTTTTTTAAGTTTATTTGTATTTATTTTGAGAGAGATAGAGTCCGAGCAGCGGAGGGGCAGAGGGAGAGAGAGAGAGAATGAATGAACGAATCCCAAGCAGGTTCTATGCTGTGAGCACAGAGCCCGACGCGGGGCTTGAACCTACAAACTGTAAGATCGTGACCTGAGCCGAAATCAGGAGTCGGACTCTCAACCGACTGAGCCACCAGGAGCCCAGGCGATAGACTTGGTTATATTTCAACAGTGTGAAATTTACAGAAAAACAGCAAACATCCTACAGAGGGTTCCCATATGCCGACAGCCAGTTTTCTCCATTATGAGCCTCTCCTGTCACCGGGGTGCACTTGTTCAGGATTAATGCATTGTTATTACCCAAAGTCCACCTTTTATCCACATTTCCTTATTTTTCCATCCGTTTTCTGGCCAGGACCCCCTCCGGGATCCCACGTTACAGTGGCATCGCGTCTCCTTAGCGCCTCGGGGCTGTGGCGATTCCTTGCTTATGATCACCTTGCCCGTTTTGAGGAGGGTGGATCAGGAATTCTGTAGAACTCCTCTCGGTGGGAACTTGCCTGATGTGCTTCTCAGGGTCAGACTGGGGCGATGGGTTTTAGGAGGAGCCCCAGTTGAGTGAAGTGCTGACGTGACTGATCCCATGGGCGTCGGCCTCCATCACGTGGCTGACGTGGCTGACAGGCTTCTCCGCTGTGTCCTGCCTTGTTTTCTTTATAATATTGAGCACAGTCCAAAGTGTGTCTGTTGTGTTTCCTCTAATGTCCGATTAGAACGTTAAGACCAGAGGCCCCTTTTGTCTTATTTATTCCCAGAGCCTGGCGCGTGGCGGAGGCTCAGCAAATTAATTAATCGACTCGGTACCTGCTTCTAGAGCACCAGTGCCGGGCAGGGGTCCCCGCGTGCTGGGGACAGAGCCCCTTAGTGCCATAGTTCCCGCCCTCAGAGAGCTTCAAGTGCACTGGGGGAGATCATTACAGACAAAGGTGTGTTCCCAGTGTAGATGTGAACAGGGAAACAACGCTTGGGTGTGGTGAGGGGGGGGCGGCCTGTGGCCTGGGGGGGGGGG